AAGTATTTTGCAGAATCAACACTCTGGAAAATATTTGGAACAAAATCCTCTCATTTTAAACCTTTTCCACATATGACATTAAAGATCACCATTGTTAGGTATGTTTTATAATCGCATTATTTTAATTGATTAATTTCTATATCATCTTATGAATCTGTATAAGTAAAAGCTGATTTAACCCTGATGTGGGAAAATTCCCTTGTTATTTTCAAAATGAGTAATTTAAATTTTCTGAAAATCTGAAGATGAATATTTGTTGTTGTTGTTAGCAGTGGTAGCAGCAGTAAACATCCCATAATTTCAGTCTCCAAAGGCTTGGTGGTCCACAGTGAAGAAACACAAAGAATATATATCTCATAAAAGAAACAATATAAAATGTAAAATCACACAATATATTAAAATGAAAAAACATATTAGAAAAGTGCAAAGGCAGGAGTTTCAGATTCAGACATTTTCTTGGCGCTTCTTCATGAAGGGAATCCATTACTAGAGCATCCTCAAAAGATAACTGACTATTCCAGGAAGGAACAACTTGCCGACTGGAGGGCATAGGTAAGCACTCGTGAGATGGGATGACTTAACAACACTTGTATCTAAACAAATTAGTAAATGACAAAGAGGGGACAATATGCTGAATACGAAGAGCTTCAGTTGGCAATCCAGCATCTGCATTTTGGACCAGTTGCACTTTTGGAGCATTTCAAGGTCAGCACAAGAAATAGTGCATTGCAGTAGTCTAACCTGAATCACTGTGGCCTCTCTAACAAGGGCAAAACTTCCCTACTAAGCTAGTAAACCTGTTTCAGTTGTGACATTAACAGTGAAACCAGCAACACTTGAGTTGGACCTTGATGTGAGACTAGTATAATCCAGTGGAAACTTGTCTCTTCCATGTTGCCAGACAACTTGAATACGAAGACATACTGGCTCTGACACTGGAGGTAATGTACAGGTATCTTCATCAGTAGCCTTATCTTCCACACATGTGTCAGTTCATAGGAAGGCTACAAACCTGTGCGACAACGTTTATTTCAAGAGGGTTAGTTAATGAAGGCTTGGGCTTATGGGAATTGTAGTCCAGAACATTTGGGTGGATGTCCAGAACTTTTGGATGGGCCCAGATTGATTATTTAACATTAGTCAAGCACTTACATGGGTGGAAATAGCCCTTATGTTGATACAGTGATGGCTGCAAGCAAACTGAAGCAGCTGGCTGCATTGCATGCATTGTATCTGCCCTTAGGGAAGCCATCCCTCTTAGGCATGGCTCCTGCCATAGGCATCTCTATAGACCACTTTTACAGAGAGGTGCCCCACTTCAATTCCCTGGGGGTGGGGGACTGACCCACAGTGTGGTGGGGAGAGGGGAGGAGCCATATAGCTCCATCCTTTGGGTTGCTTACTAGCCTTTAGTTTGATACAGAAAATGCTTAAAGCAAACTAATGTCAGAGCTGGACACATTGTCCAGTTGGTCCCATTCCAGTGAAGCGAACAATCCATGCATGCACAAAGCTTTTCTTTCCTGTGAATGTACGAATTGTTACTGCATGCGAGAAGTAAACAGATGCCATCTCTCCTCTTTGATCATCATTTAAGGCTAGTGGTCTGCAACACAGCACAACATGGGCTTATTTTGTATAGCCTTATACAAAAACTCTTGCCAACTTTCTCTATTTTTAGCTCAATTCTTCCATTTGTTCTCTCCTTCTAGCTTCTGCAAGTCATCACACAGTCAATTGGCCTGCTTTAAAGAACATTATCCACGGGGTCTACTTGTGGATGGATTCTTGTTCATAGCATCTTTCCTTGGCTTGCTTTCCCCCTGTAACAGTATCCCATCCAACGCTATTGGAGTGTGTGATATTAAAAAATTATGGTCATTTTATTGTTTCTCTTAGCTTTCTGTTGCTTGCACTCTCTTTCACTGTTAAAGAAGGCAGAATCAATTTGAGAATTTCACTGTGAAGGCTAAAGTGACAAACAATTTCTCACTATAAAACATTCCAATATTTGCTGCCATATTAGAATTTGGGCAAGAAGAAAATGAAACAGTTATTCAGGGCTCTCCTCTGCATGAACTGGTCCATCCTTCCTTTCTTTCTTACATTTCTGTACTGGCACTTTGGCCTATTTTTACGATTACAATAAATAAAACAATTTAAATAAATAAAACCAATAAAAATTAAACACCATAAAAATAACACTACATTAAAATCAATACATTAATAAAATCAATAAGTATGTAAAAACAATATATAAAATAATACTAGCATCAAGACATAGTTAAAACAGCTACCCATTAGACATATTTCTTGAATAAAAAGGTCTTTGCCTGGAGCCAAATGGACAGCAAGGACGTGCCAGGCATACCTCGCTGGGGAACATGTTCCTATACATAAAGGTAAAGGTTTCCCTTGGCATTAAAGTCCAGTCATGCCTGACTCTAGGGGGCGGTGCTCATCTCTGTTTCCTAGCCGAGGGAGCCAGTGTTTGTCCACAGACAGTCTCCGTGGTCAGGTGGCCGGCATGACTAAACACTGAAGTGCACGGAACGCTGTTACTTGCCCACCGAAGTGGTACCTTTTTATCTACTTGCATTTGCATGCTTTTGAACTGCAAGGGTGGCAGGAGCTGGGATGGAGCAACGGGAACCTTTCAATCAACCAGCCTAGTTTAAACCACTGCACCACCTGCAGCCCACCTATATACAGTGGTACCTTGGCTTACGAATGACCATTCCAGGACTCTGGTTGTGACCCAAATTGGTCGAGGCCAATCGTGGCCATACCTCCCCCCCCCCCACCCCGCACCAGCACGACTGCAATTGTGCCCATGCAGGGAAGACGGGCGCGCCTGATCATCACCCGATGCAGAGTTCACAACCTGCAGCAAAATTTTTATGAAATTTCTGTTTGTGACCCAATTTGGTCATGAACTGAGACGTTAGTGAGACAAGGTACCACTGTGTGTGTGTGTGTGTGTGTGTTTAGATATAAACAATATATATATATATATATCAAAAACAATGCAATTAATATAATAACAATGAACACAATTAATCATTATATTAACTTAAACAGTACAACAATACCAGTGCTACCTCCACCAGGAACAACAAATCAAATTACTTAATGTAAGATCAGGTAGCCAGGCCTTAAACCATTTTGGGCTTTATATGCCATAACAAGCACCCTGAATTGGGCTCGGGCAGTGCAAATCTCTGAGCACTGGGGTAATGTGTGCCTGAGGTTTGCTCGGGCAGGAATTTCCTTCCACATAGGTATGAACATATCAGACTTTCAGGTGCCTCAGTATGTTGTATCTCATTGTATGGGATGAAGATGATGATGACTATTATTACTGGTGGTATGTTCAGGAAAGTGTTCAGTCTATATGCAATTCATAGTGGTATCGTCCAGGAACAGTTTTACCAGATGCTCTGTTCTTGTGGGCCTTACTGCCAGTCAAATGTTTTCTGGATGCTTACCCTGAGCATCAGTCTTGTAACAAAGCTTGAGTGGCACAACCTGTGGCAGCCGGCCTAATTTCAAAAGCCCTCCACAAGTGACCACTTCAGATCTCTGGCAAGAGTCAGCAGTCCTTAGCATCTCACTGGGCAGGAAAAAAATAGGAAAAGAGCATAAAAAGAAGTATCAGAGAATAGCAGTGTCAAAAGGACAGCAGTGGGATGGTGCTCCCCCCCCCCCAACACACACACTTTTGATTCTGATGCAGTCCCTCCCCAACATCAGCAAGATCACCTGGAGGGACACAGCAGGCATCCAGCTCCCTGCAGGATGGCTTCTTCTAATGCTGCTTCCAAGCTTTTTCTACTCAGAAACTTCTACATCATTGTTTCATGCTTCACATTTTGTTAACAATGTAGGAAGTTTCAGGGGCAGCCTTTAAATACGCCAGTTTCCTTGTAAGAAGCAGGTATTCTCTCTTTTCTTCAGCTTACATGCATATTTACTATGCTGGCAAAACATCACATAAAGCTAACTTGTCCTTTAGGCAGAGGCACTTAATGTGTACCAATTTGATTCTCCAGATACACAGGATTGATTCTACCAGTGCTATATCATCAGACACCATTGACATGTTCATGGGGTGGAGTTCAAAGCCTTAGGGAGGCATGTCCCTTTAGTATCCATACAGAACCCCATACAAACAGTACAATCCATTATTTTGTTTGGAAGATGTAGATAAAGAGATCTGTGGAATGAAAGGTGCTACTGTCTGTGGAGCTGTGAGTTGCTGACACAGGAACCGTATTTAATTTCCCTTAAAGGGAGAGAGATCTGCTAATCCTAATACACATAGGCAGTTCTAAACCTCCAAGGAAAATAATGTAAAGCATCATCACACACTCGCAACCAGAAGTGGCATTTTCTTAGGCCTTTGCCTGTGACCTTTTCATTCACCCAAAGTGAGCAAGGAACAGGGAAAAGAAACTGGCAGCAGAACAACATGGGTAGTCTTTGTCTCTGATTCTCCGCCTCCCCCTCTTCCTCCCCCCCCCCTCCTTTCCTTGGGGCTGGTGACTGAAATGCAATTCAAACAGCAAGTAAAGTCGAAGAACAAAGGAAAGCCCAGTTGTCATTACGCGCTGCCGCATCAGAAAACGCCTCCCATCACGGCGGATTCGGCGCGCGCGGGCTTCACTTCAAAGAAGAATAAATATTTGATCAGCATCGATCGCCTGCTGCCCTGTATTGAATGGGGAAGGGAAATGGCCACCTCCCTGCCAGGGGAGCTGTAATCCAATTCCGCTCGGTGCGCGACCAGCCAGCCCAGCGAGCCCCAAGGCCTGCCGCCTGGGCGTGGCGCTCGCCTCTCCGCCCCGCTTTGCGCGCCCTCCCGCGCGGCTCGCTCGCTCCCTCCCTCCGTCGGCCGCTCCCCCGGGGCCCAATGAGGTCAGCTCATGAATAGCGCCGCATTTCCCAGCGCCGCTCCGGCTCCGCTTGGCACCTCTTCGCGCATCCTGGCCGGTGGCGGGGCGGGCGGACGGGCGCGCTGCTTCAGCAGCCCTCCAAGGGGAGACGCGGTGGGAGGTAAGTCGCGCTGGGCGCTGGAGCCATTGTTGCCAGAGAAGAGGGTGCTCGGCGCCGTGGAAACGGAGCGAGCGCACAGTCCTTTCAACTAAACTAAAAGAAAAAAGTGTGTGCAGGCGCGCTGCTTCTTTTGCTCTGTGTGTGCCAAACTCTGAGGAAAGGTGCCGTCCTACCACACTGGAAAGACACCACTGATGGGAAGTGAAAATATTAAATACAGAACTAAGGCAAGCAGAGGCGTCTAGTGAAGCACGGCTGCTCTCTTTTGTTTCTTCTGCTCTCCTCCGCTTTGGCAGCTGTTTTAAAAGGGAAAGCTGCAGAGACGCAGCCTCCTCTGGCGCCACGTGACGATGTCCCGGGCGATCTCGATCGAGTTCTATGGCACGGTCGGGGGGGAGGGAGGTTCTCGATTTTGGGTGTAGCTTTAACACTGAAACAGATCCTGAAGTTTTCATAGATTAGGACTCAGCCGCTGCTGGGAGTAGTGAAGACTGGAAGGGGTCGTTCCATAGGATGCCCTTGGCAGGATTTGGGCGAAACTGGCAACTCGTTTAGCTGCAGTGCAACTTCAGGAGGAAAAGCCGGTAATGTGGAGGCCTGCAGCTATATCTTGGGGCAAGGTTGTTGCCATTGCAGAAGCTGAGAATTGAAACTAAGTGAATGCCAAGCTCTCTCACATATTCTGTTACAAAATTAAGTTTTTGTTTTAGGAATCTGTCATATCTCTCTATACAACACTTTTGAGTTTCCCATTTTGAATGGGTATTTAGAAAAGCTAAGATTACAAATGCAAGTTGAAAGGTGCTATGAGCAATTGAGGTTGTCTGTATGTAGTAATTGTAACAGACAGATGCAAAGCATTTGATAATTTAGGCTGTGGTCCTACATGCTAAGTGGGGAAGTATTAAACGGGTCGTTTCATCTATATGCAAAAGATAAAGCTCAGCTCTTATAATTTTTCTAACAAAACTAGGTTTGTAGAATATTATGCCTTCTCATTTGATTCTCCCCTCCCAGATTGGTGATGTGTTTAGTTGCATGTATGTGTAATGATTGCTGTTTTTAATACTTTATCTATAATACAGAAATGACTTCAATCTCTGCAGTGTTGGCAGATCACAGACTCATTTTGGGATATAATGTGCAATGGGCTGCCAAGGTCTGACATATGACCTTGTCAACTTTACCTTGTGAACAGTTCCTCTGCATATGTGCAACACACACACACAATATGAACACTATATTATATGAAATGTGATTAGCATTGTGTAGTCAAAGTTATGCTTTTCTGATTGACAAAGACAGTAGTGAAGATGACTGTACCACACAGGGGTATCAGATATGTGATAAAATCCTCTTATCGCTTGGTAGGATAACTAAGCTCCTAATAGTAAGAGAGTTTAGCCTGAAGTTTAATAAGCTTTGTGTTCTTTGTGTGTGACATTACACTGAAAAGGAGCCCTTTAAGCATCTTCTCTGATTATGGCAACCCTCCCCCTGCAAATGGAAGAAGAAAACTGCTAGTTGGTCATGACTTGGCAATGACTTAGTCCGCATGACACTAAAAAGTGTACATCTGAATTTTTCTCACATCATATTTTCTGTGTCTTGGTTTCTAATGCAGAATGAAGTCAGAACTGACCATACATTTAGCTAATGGATTGTAAGCCCTTTTAAAAACCACCTGATTCAATTAGTATGAAAATTCCTCTCTCAAGAATGGGAGTGTCCTCAAAAAAATAGTCCTTATGGATTATCCTTGCTTTTAATCCATGGAAGGAAAAAGACCTCACTAGTTCTTTGTAACTCTAAAATGTCATTTTATATAATAAACTAACCCAATGGCATTTAGAGTGCTAACTACAAAATAAGAATCAGACGTAGATGTACGTTTCAATTCTATATGCACTTTCTTAGGCATGAGTCCACTTGAATTCAGTAGGGCTTCTGAATAAACTTATTAATGTTTTGTCTCTGTCAATTGCTATCGATTTTAAATTGTTGTAGACAATATCCAGTGAAAGCAATCTGTTATGTTCTCTCCCCTTGGTAATAAATTGAAATAAATTAAAGCATTTGGGTTAGATATAAATTAACACACTTTTTAATTCAGCCCTGAGGATTCATCACCCTTTGGCTCCCTCTAAACTATATTGAAAATTTTTGCACTTCTTTAAAAAGAACAAAGATGCATTGAGCATTAACAGAGGATCCATCTTTCCCCTGACCTTTAAAATCCTTAATAAGAATAATAAAAGTGAGTGCATGGAGTGGGAAATGGCAAGAAATTCAATTGTTTTGGTGTTCAGCTAAGTAATTTACATGATTTTCAGAATGGGTTGTTGTTTGAGTTTTGCACTTGAACTATGTTTTCCTCTCATCTTGGAAAGGCTAGTTGTGCATTCAAATGGAGAGGTTCTCTGTATTATTACTTATATCTTAATGTTCCTCTAAAGAGCTCAAAGTATGTTTGGATGACTTTCAAGTAATCCTTCATTTATAGAACTGAACTGACATCAGCAGTAGAGCTGCATCATGTTGCTTCAGGCAGTTGATCTGAGATGCTGTACCATCAGCTTAAGTGGAGCAACACAGAAACTTTTAAAGCAAAAAGACAGGTCTCTGCCCCAAATCGCCTACAACACATGTTTGACATGGGAATGTTAGAAAGGGATAGATATGAATAATTTAGCATTCAGAGTTGGATAGGTTGGCAAACATGCCTCAGTTGCTGAGTCAAAAGCAAAAACACTCTTTGGGCTTTGTATTTGATGAGTAATTGGGCACATCCTATAGCTGCTTCATAGGGGATGCAGATTTGTGGGAGAACCAGGGCTACATGTTGTTTTACTTTAGAACTGTTGTGTGAACCCAGCTTTGCTGACTCAAGAAATACTTGGGTTTGAGGGACCGCAGCGTGAGGAAGGGCAGTGGGTGACAGGGCTCGAGCACTTGCACCCCGAAAAGTAGCGTTGTAAAACTTCCCTCTGAGCAATCCCTGACGGCTTCGGACTATGTGTCGGCTGCCAAGATTTCAGGCGATGCCTGCATCTGAGAGAGGAGCGCGGCGGTTTCACATCTAGGACTTGGAGCAAACCTCGTGGAGCACTTTCACGCTCCGCCCCCTTTACTGGAGGCACATTGTTCCATTGTGGAGAGCGGGCTTGCTTTGTGTGGGGCGTGCTCCGCTGCCGGCTAACTGACGAGCCTTCTGTCTGTGCCTCTTCCAGCGGCTCAAAAGAGAGGCCGGCAGGCGATGACCCTGTCGGCATCGGACATTTCCCCGTCATCCCGGAGGTAACATCCGCCATGAGCCAGGCACCTAGCGGGGGCTCTCCTGCCACCGCCTCGCCTCGCCTGCTTCCGGAGGGGAGCAGCAGCCGAAACAAGCAGCAGCAGCAGCAGCAGCGAGCCTCCTCTCCGGGCAGACCGAAGGATTCCCCCGCCCGCCAGCCCTCCCCAGCCGCTAACGCCTCTCGCTCCACAGCGGCGGCTGCAGCGGCTGCCTCCAAAGGAAGCTCCTTCCGGCAGCAGCAGGCGCCGCAGCCGCCGCCAGGGCAGAAGCCCAGCCGGGCGAAGGGAGGCGGAGTGGGAGGAGACAAGCCGTCCGCGCAGGCTGCGCCGGGAAAGAGCGCGGGGCCACTGGGAGCTGTCCAGGCCGGGGATGGTGCTGAAGCGCAGCCCGCCTCGCCTCTGGTCCCGGCAGGAGGGAGCTCCACGCCGAATCCAGGGCCCGCCGGTGACAAGCGGGAGGCGCAACCCAAGGAGCCCGAGTCTACGGCGGCCAGGGCCAGGGAGCAGCAGAGCCCGGCTGGAGCGGACGTGGAAAGGGACGGCGCCTTTGCCCTTTTCCAACCAGCAGCCAAGAGCGGCAACCGGGGTAAAGCAGGCAGGCCTCTGCAGAAGGGTGGAGGGGAGGCAGCCCCAGCTCCTCCATCTGCGTGTGGCCAAGGGAAAGGCCGGGCCCTGGCTGTGGGCAGTGGAGGTGGCTACTGGAAGGAAGGATGCTTGCAAAGTGAACTCATCCAGTTCCATCTCAGGAAAGGGCTGGTGGCAGCCCAGATGCAAAACAAAGGTAACAACCAGGGCGATGGCAATGGGGGTGCCTCGGCGACTGAAGAGACCCAGCCTGCCTCCTCTTCCTCCTTGACCAGACTAACAATGGGGCCACCTGGGACTGAAGAGGGCAGTGGCCCCAGCAGAACCACTGAAGGCACGTTGAACCTGAATCCTTGGCGGCAGCAGGAGCTGCAGGAGGAGGTGGAGAAACTGCAGGAGGAGAATGAGACCCTAAAGGTAAGTCAAAGGCGAGCAACATAGGTATGGCCTAACCTAGGAGGAGGGGGTTACAGAGACCCCTCTTTTGAGGAGAAGGTAAACGAGGCAAACCCCATATAGGGGTTTATTGCCCTGACTTCCTGGCTTAAGAAAAGGAAAAGGCATTGACTTATCCTTTGTCCTGTTTTTGTCCTATTTTATCCCCTGCATTTTCCAGAGGTGAGGTTCTGATTCAAATTTTGTGTTCTATTTCCATGGAAATACAGCTGATAAATTGGGCTATCTCATAGAGGTGCCAGTCTAAACTAGCTGGATCTGTCTGGGACATGAAGATTTTCCACAGATGTTGCTTCTGTAATGAAAGCATATATGACTCTGTATGTATCCAACATATATGGCTTGCTTCATCACTCGCCGGTCCATGCCTTTCACTTTTCCAATATTACTGAGCATACCAGCCTGACCTACGAAGAAAGTGCAAGGACCTGTTTCCCCCTGAGCACCCCCTCTCCCCTCCCATACAGAGAGCTGTTCCTTTTGACTGCATTCGCTTATGCCTTCTTTACATGATTTAGTCTAAAAGTGGGGGGTGCTTACCTGAGAATTATTTTTTCCAATCATAATGCTTTCCCCTCACAATTTTTTTCTCTGAAAGGGAAGGGATGATGTTCCAAATTTGTTTCAAATCACAGCTATATTATACAGTTAGTAGTAAAGTACTCAAGAGTTGCATACCATTACCCAGCTGGCAATGACTAGGTAATGATGGGAAAGGGATGTCCTATTAAGTCCCATGCTGACCTCAAAAGTTGTGCAAGTTGTCTTATACTGAATCAGATCAGTGGTCTAACGAGCCTAGTAATGTCAATATCGACAGGTAGTGGCTCTCCAGGGCTTTAGACAAGGGCTTTCATAAGTCTCCCTGAAGATACCAGAAACAAACTAGGACCTTCTTCATGCAAAACATGCGCTCCATCACTGCACCACAGCCCATATCCCTGCAGGCAAAGCAACACATACATGCAGCAAAGAAACTGTACTTCCTGTTTCTGTCCACTCTGGATAGCTACCATTAACCCAGGATGTTAGGATTACCTCCTGGTATGCATATCAGTTTATGAGAGCTATTCATTGAGCAGACATAAGATACTTATTGATATGCCTGTTCAAAAATAAGTCCCATTTTCCTTCCCTTATTTATTTGCACTAACATGATATGATGTATGTCTGCTCATTTCCTTCTGAATGGATGCCAGAATGAGATTGATGAGCTAAGGACTGAGATGGATGAGATGAGGGACAGCTTCTTTGAAGAAGATGCATGCCAGCTACAGGAAATGAGGCATGAATTGGAGAGGGCCAGCAAAAACTGCAGGATTCTTCAGTATCGCCTTCGGAAAGCAGAGCGCAAACGGCTCCGTTACGCACAGACTGGGGAGATTGATGGAGAACTTCTGCGTAGCTTGGAGCAGGACCTGAAGGTACTACAGGGCCAGAAGTTGGCAAATAAGTAAAAGCCAAGGAAGGGGGGAAATGTTGAGGCTTCAAAAGCACTGTGTGCCCTCAGCTTCCAATGTGATGCTTGACTCTGATGTCAGCTCTGTTTGATGACTTAGAGATTCTGACTATCAATACCCACATTCTGACTATCAGTCCTCATTCCAATATTGAATCCTTTCCAGTTAATGGATAGCAAGTTCCTAGTTACTTTACACAGCATTGATTTAACAGTTGTACCACTGACTCCTCTATTATAAAACTAGCCTGAACTCTGTAGCATCCATTTGTATGGGCAAATGTATCTAGGAGACAAAAAAGCTCAATCTTGTGGCTGATATGTCTTAGCCATATCCCATTTTTTTTCCAACTTGGAGATATAAAAAGGGAGAGAACATTCTGGTTAACGTTCAAATATGGAAGGCCAGAACACAACTGGAGGAACACATCTAGATCCCCCTACCATTTTAGAATATTAACTCTGTGTGTACTGTAACACTTGCTTTAAATTTGATCTGCATTGTCATGCTTTGTGACTGTATCATATGTTTGTCTGTGTAAAGAGGAAGATTGCTGTCATGCACTTAAATAATGTCTTTCCTATTATCAACGATTCATGAATAATTACCTTTCTTGTAAGAGTGAGTGAGTCACACTCTGCTGCCACTTTCTGGCAAGTAAGAAGTTTCTAGATTGCTTCAGATCAATCTGCTTTCCTTTTGAATTACTGGAACTGGGGAAAAACTTCACTGAACCCACAATTCTATGCACACTTATTTGGGAGTAACGACTACTGAGGGTGAGATCTAGTTTGGAGAAAAGATGCATTTGATCAAGCTGCAAATATAATAGCACATTTAGAATTGCTAGATCTTAGAAAACAGCTTGGTTATGAATAAGGGAGACAATTGGATTGTACAGATTTCCAGTTACATAATAATGCAACAACTTTGAATTTTAACAATGGTTGTACGAAGCCCCCATGAAACGGATTAATCGTTACCTAGTTATTTGATGGTTCGACCTACCACTGACAATTTGCCGTCATAAATTGGTACCTGTGGTTAAGTATTCAGGGCCAGACTTGGAGGAGACCTCAGTGACAGCAGCAAAACCTCTTATCCAGGAGTTGAAGATGACTTATGTCCGTCAACAGCAGCCTCCCTTCTTGGAAGACAGAAGTAACCACCCTCTTCTAGTGTGATGGCAGCTCCCTTCCCTTCCCTTCCCTTCCCTTCCCTTCCCTTCCCTTCCCTAGGACACCAAAAGCCCTTTACCAGGTGGGATGTCTCCATCTGTATAAGCTTTCTTCCAAGAATATCAGATTACTAATCATTCCTGGGCAGAGGAAGTATCTCCCCTCTTCTTGCTATGAGACAAGTATACACTGGCAGCAGCTCACAAAGTTAGTAGCCAGCAAGTACTACTGCTGGCACCTGCCACTTTATTTTCCCCAAATGCCTTTGAGCTCCAACAGAGAGACCTGGTGAAGGAATTTCAATGGCTATTGCCCTCAACAGTGTTTGCTGGCTACTTGCTCTTTCCCTGATGCTGCAGACACACACCTGGGGGTGAGAAAATGGGATGGGAGGCCCTCCGAAGAACTTAAACCAGTGACAAATGCCCAGGGATGCTGAGCTCTGATAATGGCCTGAAACTGCTACTTGATAGATCAATGAATTGAAGCATATGGTCCTGGTTATAATATTAAGGAGATTTTTTCCATCAAAAAGAAGTAATTATAAGTTCAAATCCAGTTTGGGTATTGTGTCCACTGATCACAGAAGCTGCCTTAACCAGGTTGGACCATTGTCCACCCATTATAGTATTACTGACATGACTGATAGTTTGGCTGTTTGGGGTTTCAGACTGGAGTTCTTACAGCCCTATCTGGAGATGCGAGAGACAGAAGCTGGGGCCTTCTTCATGAAAGCTTCTGTTGTTTAACCAAGAGATGGCCCCTCTCTTGAGAACTGGCTTTAAGCAGCAGATGCACATTCAGGAATGTTCAAAGTGCTTGAATCAGTGGGTACCATGCATGCTGCTCCTCACCCTTCCTGGAAACCATCTAGAGTAAGTTGGAGTGGATGCACTAAGCCACCACCATGCTCCTCTTCTCTGAAAGCCAACAGGCAGGACAAAGTATGCGTATTGTAAAGGAACTGGATTCTAGATTGAAATAATGTGAATGCTACTTTATTTTTAGGTTGCCCACACCAATCCATTTTTGCCATCAATTACCTGATTTCTAAGTTTACATGATCATTGCTATCTTTCTCATGTTATCTCATTATTACGATCCTTTGTTTTAAAGTTTTGAATATTCTTCTGTTCAGGTTGCAAAGGATGTTTCTGTGAGGCTTCACAATGAGTTGGAAAATGTGGAAGAGAAACGTACTACCACAGAAGAGGAAAATGAGAAGTTAAGGCAGCAGTTGATAGAAGTAGAGATTGCTAAGCAGGCTCTGCAGAACGAATTTGACAAGATGAAAGAGGTTAGTGTTTTTGGTTTCTTTTGGGGGAAGTTTTATTCTACCTTGTTTTATTCTACTGGTTTTCTTCTACGCTGAGGGTCATAAATGCTGAAGCAGCAATCAGCGTGCCTAGTTTGCAAGTGCAGCAAGGCACACAAGTAATGTATTGGCAAAGGCTGTTGCTTGGTGGCAGAGCGCATGCTTAGCATGCAGACTTCCCTTGATTACATTTCTAGCAATTCTGTTTAAGGCTGGGAAAGGACCTTGGAGAGCCAGTTTGTGCTAGGGAATGTAGACAGCACTGTGATAGGGGATCCAAAAGCTTGACTATGTCTAAGGCAATTTCCTGAGTTTTTACTATTCCATGCTTCAATGGAAATCCACACACAGAGAGTGTACTTTCTAATCCAGACTTTCTAATCCAGTGCGCTGTGAATGCTGGATCTCACTTAGGTTTCAGAAGAATGTTTGCATTGCTGTCCTTAGAGCCTTCTCTGAGAAGGAAGGACATGAGGCTGCAGGTGAGTCAGCAAATAAGAAGGTCCCTTTCTTGCCACACTGGTGCTGGTGACATCACTGAATGGGCTCATGAGTGAGTGCAGTAAAATAAGGTGAAATTACTATGTTTACCTCTTGGGGGTGCTGTCCTCTCATCTACTATAAGACTGATCTTGGCTATGCGAAGCTGCCCAAGGTACATGTGACACTGAAATGCCAATGATTAACATATTTGCCAAGCAGCCTTAACTAGACACAGTCTTCATCTGTGCTTACTGAATGCTTGGAATTCCAGTTATGAATTGGTGGTGGTGCTTTTCTTTCTTCCTTTTTGTTTTGCTGCTTTAGGGGAAGTGAAATTTTAATTCTTTCTCAGTGACTTTAATTTTCGGACATATGTATGGATTTAGTCTATTTATTTCAAGCAAACTCCCTATGGAATCAGTAAGCTGTTTTAGAGAACAGTTTGGGCACTTTTTAATAGGACATTTTATGATTTAAAATATTTCTAGCTTCCTCCTTGGCACAGTGATGTATAAATAAAAAGAATAAAGTTCATATGGAAGCATATTTTAATATCAGAAAGGGCTATTGTGCAGTTATCTGCAGCGGAATGAAGAAACAGAAGGAAGAAGCACGCTATGGACTGTATCCAGTGGTGTCCTTCCACCAGTAGAATGTTTTGTTGGGTGAGCAAAAACGTGCATTGGCAATGTAGTTTTCCAAGAATGCTCCATCGTACAAGCCTATATTAGCACTAGGCACAGCTCCCTTAAGGAAGATACCACAAATTAATCGGTCTGCCCTTAAACATATTACTCAGAAATAAATCAATGGGCTGAACTTGCAAAGGCTTGGAGCTACAGAATTACTGGATGGCCTTGCACCTAAGTATCTTGTTGGAGGTTATTTTGCTTTTTTGTAGTTAGGAGTAGGATAAGTACAATTTGCATCTACCCAGGATAAAAAATAGCATCCAAATGTATCCAGAATGGACTTGTAACTTGCAACTGCTTCAAATTATGTTTTTGCTTGTATAATGGCTACTCATTCAAGCAGTTAGAAATAGTGGTTTAATGGAAGGAGTGAAGGATGGTAACCAGGAGAGAATCCATATGCAGAAGGATCTTGGCATAATGGACTATCTGCAGCACTTGCCAATTAATCTCTAGAAGCAAGAAAACACCACAGTATATTATGTGACTTGAATGTGTAAGGGGCTAACTACATATTGCATGCAAAATTTTATAGCAAACTTTTGTATTTTTAAGTAAAGCGGTGTTGGGAAGGGGAACTGAAACAGGTAACAGCCAGTGGGGCATTAACCTGTTCCCTGTTGACTCCTCTTCCACTCCAAGTCAGAGAACCTACCTATCTTCAAATATATGACACAATCCTGACAAGAGTTCTCTGAAAGCCTCTTGAAGAGTTCTCTCGAGGAGTGCCATTACTAATATGTTGGGCTGAAACATGGTGTGCTTCTTAAAACATAAATCAGGGTTTGTTTGTTTTTCAGAATCATGAGACTAGTCTTCTCTTGAATGGTTTCTACTTTTCTATACTTTCTTACTCTACTTTATGGCAGCTGGCAAAAATACTTTAACTTACCCAGGCCTTTTCATGGGTTTGACATCACATGGTGTTTTATGCTGGCAATATTTTTCCTTCTGTATCTTGTACTATTTGTGATTATTTCCTTCACTGTTGTTTTACTGTGTTGTTGTTCAGCCCAAGGATCTCTAGCATGCCAAAGAATGAGTAGAAGTGAGTCATATCCCTGCCTCCAACAAGGACAGGCTCCTTGATGGGAGGAGTGACAACCCCCTAACCAATTTCTGACGGGGATTTTTTTCTTGTCCCATGCAAGTAAATGAAGAAAATGTTCCATTTACTTGCATGAGTATGGGAAAAGAAGGAGAGAGAAGAAAGAGAGAAAGGAAGAAAAGAATTACCAGAGAAAGGGGAAGGAAACATAGAGAGGTTCCAGAAAACATCCTTCCAAGTCTGAAAAAAAAATCCAAGTGACATTGAACATTTTGCTCTAATTCCATGCTTTGTACAAATTACAAATTTTGTTGCATCCTTTGCCTTCTGTTTCAGAACTGATAACCATCCTTTTTGTAACTTCAAGTTTTGATGGTTCAGTAGATCTTGGCAATGAGGGCTGTTGAACCCAGATGTTGTTGGACTACAACTTTCTCTATCCCCTGACCACTGGCCACGGTGGATTTCCACTGCTCTCACACAGTATAATATGCATCTGATCTTTCTTTTATAGCTGTCCATGAAAAGAAGAGGAAGTAAAGATTTGCAGAAATCAGACAAAAAGACGCAGCAAACACCCACTGAGGTGAGCTCAAATACTGCAACTCTCCCACTGTATAATCCTGTAAACCTTCTGGACATTGCTGACTACACCAGTTTTGTAGTGTTCATTTACTGGCCCAAATGGTATTTTTGTAACTTTAACAGCATATTTATCTAAGAAAATAGGCTTATAAAGTATTTTATCCTCTATAGTTATCAGTCTGTTTTGATAGTAGCAGAGGAGCTCCTAGTATTTGTATTCTTAAAACATAAAGTGATATTCTTGATTACTATTTTCATTACTATATTATCTTGAAAAGATGTTGCAAGCCATGTTTCTATGATAGTGATTCATTGACAATTAGTTCTAACTCACAACCACTTCACATATTACATTTAAGGAGGACTCTTACACCTAATACATAATGATCTGATTCATTCATAAAACTAGCCCCAGTATTATTAATTAATATTTTGTTTCCTTATACAAGGTTTTTTCTGGTAGACAAGTGACAAATCTTTCTTTTTTCAATTTTTTGTTGAGAAAACAAAAAAAATTGTTTTTTTTTTTTTTTGTTTCCAGCTTGCCTGACACCCAAATCCTAAATGATGTAGCACTGGGCATATAAAGGTGTTTTTTGGTTTTTGTTTTTTAAACCACTCCTGCCTGCTGCCTCTGTAAGCTGGCAACATGACCCACAAACAACCTATGGTTCTGGGTTCATACATGACACCAGCAGGACACCAGTTTAAACAACCCAGAGTTCACAACCTGACAAAAAACAAGGGGTTCACTTTCTGGCTCTTCTGTGGTTAACAAATAATGATTATTAGCATGGCTGGTTCTTTCATATCATGCCAACCCAAATTCCATAAACCTCGTATATGTTAAATAAACCATGGGTTAACATTCAGAAGTGAAAACAAACAAAGCCTAATGCTTATTTCTCCTATGATCCATGTACTTCTATTTGCTGAATGCACACATAATGCTATTAAATGCTGTTGAATAGGCTTTGGAGTTCATGATTCAGGAACCATAGAAAATATTTATAATCTCCTAATCCTGAATATCCTGTAGAGTTGGTAGATTTCCTTTTACAGTAATATATAGCTGTTTGGTATTTGAAATATAGATTAAGTTTAATTTTATCTACCCTGAAATTAATGGAGAAACTCCCAATAAGTTACTTTGGGCTAGTGTCCTTCTCCTACTTCTCCTTCTCTTTCTCCTTCTCTGGATTGATCAAGTGGTACCCTTGCTTATATAGTGTTTGAATATTCTTTCCCTTTATAAGGAAGACAATGAAGATCTGAAATGCCAGTTGCAATTCATCAAAGAGGAAGCTGCCCTGATGAGGAAAAAGCTGGCTAAGGTAGACAAGGAAAAGGACAGATTTGAACATGAGCTGCAAAAGTACAGATCATTTTATGGTGATCTAGACAGTCCCTTACCCAAAGGAGAAGCTGGAGGCCCACCTACCACAAGAGAGTCAGAACTCAAGCTCCGTCTCAGGTTAGTAGAGGAAGAAGCCAATATTCTGGGAAGAAAAATAGTTGAACTGGAAGTTGAAAACAGAGGGCTGAAGGCTGAACTGGATGACTTAAGGGGAGATGATTTCTCAGGGGCAGCCAACTCTATGATGGGGGAGCAGAATGAATCTCTCTCTGAATTACGACAGCATCTGCAGTTAGTTGAAGATGAGACTGAACTGTTGAGGCGGAACTTGGCTGATGCTGAAGAGCAAAACAAGCGCATCACGGCAGAGCTGAACAAATATAAATACAAGACTGGCAGTCATGAGAGCTCAAGGCACCATGATAATGCCAAGATGGAAGCACTGCAGGAAGAACTCAAAGCTTCCCGCTTGCAGATCAATGAGCTCAGTGGTAAAGTCATGCAACTTCAGTATGAAAACAAAATCCTGATGTCCAACATGCAGCGCTATGACCTGGCCTCTCACCTTGGAATCCGGGGTAGTCCCAGAGACAGCGATGCTGAAAGTGATGCAGGGAAGAAAGAAAGCGATGATGATTCTCGTCCCCCGCACCGCAAGAGAGAAGGGCCCATTGGTGGGGAGAGTGACTCAGAGGAGGTCCGCAGCATCCGTTGCTTGACCCCCACTAGATCTTTCTATTCCCCACCAGCGGGATGGCAGAAAAGTTTCACGGACCGGCAACAAATGAAGGACATCCGCTGTGAAGCGGAACGACTGAGCAAGACAATAGACCGCCTGATTTCGGACACCAGCACCATCATAACCGAGGCAAGAATTTTTGTGGCAAATGGGGACCTCTTTAGAATCATGGAGGATGAAGATGATGGCAGTCGGATACGGGAACATGAACTTCTTTACCGGATAAATGCCCAGATGAAGGCATTTAGGAAAGAGCTCCAGGCCTTTATCGACAGACTAGAAGTTCCGAAGTCTTCAGATGATCAAAGTACAGATGAACCTTTGTCAGTGAGTCAGGTAGATTTTTACTTCATAAGCCGGCTAGGTAAAGCCTTTTCAGTCCAGGATGTGGTTCAATCTACATTTTCTAAACGTGCTTATGTGGTAGCGTGAGTACATTATTACATATCTGTGGCTTAATTTTACATCCCCCAACTGTAGTTGGCAATGTGCTCCTAAAATTGGGTCCTAAGAGAGACACAGAGCTGGTTCCACAGGTTAGCATGGTCAGGTAGCTGCTGAAGCTGACACTTCTGGAGTGGGCCAGTTTCCCAAGGCCCATGCTGCTGCTGCTGCTTTGCAGATGACTTCCTTGCCTGCCTGCTCCCTCTTGACCGGAGAGCACAAATGAAGTCAGCAAGAATGAAGAACTACTACTGCTTGATTGCTTGTGTGTTTCCTCTCACACAAGCAAGCAAGTAGGCAGTGGAGGTTCAAAGAGGAAGCAACAGCAGCGGGCTACAAAGACAAGCTAGCCCCATAATGAGGGGGATAGCACGGATAATGCCCTGCCTGAGAACCACCTGGAACTAGCACTAGGATTGCTAGTGCAAAACATTCTTACTTTTGGGGAAAACAAAAACAGGCAAGAACATAAAATATCATTGGTGCAGTGTATAACAGATGAATAAGAGGACACGTACGTAATAGGGAAGGTCAGCCTAAGAGTCTCAAGGAGATTTTTTTTTAAACCATGTATCACATAATTTGTCTCATTCAATTTTCATCTACTCTTTTAAATGATGGCTCTTTTAAATGAATTAGACAAATTTATGGAGGTACAGTTATCCATGGTTGCCTGTCAAGATAACTAGATGAAAGCTCCACATTCAAAGACAACCTATCCCTCAAGCAGAAGATGCAGGAGACACACTACAAAGGACTGTTGCTTATAAGCCTTCTTGGCATTTCCCAAAATGTAGACTAGATGTACTTTCAAGCTGTCTTTGGTAATGTCCTTACAGACATTGCATCCAAAGGAGTAAGTCCAAGACACACCTTGAATACTTGATGAACAACACCATGTGAACAGGCCTTCTACTAAATTGATAGCCCTGTAAGCATAGTTTTACTTCCTAACAGGTAGGCAATATGGTGCTTTCCAGACGTAGTACAATTTCCATAATCCCTGGCTACGGGTTATCCTGGCTAGGGCTGATGGAAGCTCTAGTCCCAAACCTCAGGAGAGGATCAGATGGGCAACCCTTGCTTTACCAGGCTTATATTTAAATATGATCATTGAAAAAATCTTTGCAATCTTTTAAAGTCACTTCCTGCAATGAATACAAGCTGCTCTGGGCCTTCTTATTCTTGGCCATGCCACTACATCTTTACAAGCACCAGAAATGCCATGGTATATTTGATTTATTCTGGACAGTGATTAGATGTTCCAGTCTAGAAGTTACAGTGTACAAAGGCTTCTGCACATATATCAGACTTACTGGATATGTGAAATATAATATGAATGGGTTCACCTACATCCTAGAAGCAGATGAAGTTGCATGACAGTAGAAACCTGTGCTCTAGCTTCTGAAACCCAGTCCTGTATCTCCATGATGGTGCATAAATATGCCCTTCTATGGAACTTAGTGTCATTAGGCATGCAGAGATAGTATTCAGTCTTAATGACCCCTGCAATGTCTGTCTGATATAATTTATGTGCAGACATCATGATAAACTGTGACTCACTGTTGTAGGAACAAACTTATATGAGATGTGGGCTCACATGTTCCCCTCTGTGGGCTCCATCTCCATGGCCAGAAGGACAGGTTTGGAAGCTTTTGCTTCAAGTTTGACAAACCACAGCTTGCAATTAATCTGAATTGCAGTTTTGTTTTTTTTTAAAGTAGCCAAATTCAGCCCATGGATTATGAAACTGGCTTGTTTAACAAACTAAATAATGACATTTTACAGTTTGGAAAACAAACTAAAATGAAAGCAGACACTTTGAGTTCAGAGGAAGGTTCAAGGGAAGATTGGGATTGTGTCTTCATGATAAAGCAAAGTGAACTGATATAAATCAAAGCAATTTAAATCAACAAGAAAATAGATTGATTTAAAAAAAAGGATTTAAATGTTTCCCATTGAAATTGCCATTTATGTCCTGAACAATGGTGCAAATCAGATCACTAAACCATACTAATTTATAACTATTACTATATTACATGTCTAGACCACTCGTAGCCAAAGCTCTCTGGGAAGTTCACAATATTTAGGCCCCTATCCAGATTTCAACCAGGCTGGATCTTGCTTAGCTTCCAAGAGAAGGCGGGATGAGGCCCTTCAAGCTATACAGAAGTCTTATTTACATGCTTATGCTTCATTTTTGCAGCTCTATTTCTCACTGTATATATTTTGCATGCTTTCCTTTCAACCATAGATGCAATGTCCTTATAAAACCCCCTGTACAGAGATTGCTGCAGGACAGTTTGTGGTGAACAGCACAGTCCTATAAATAAGTCCCATCGACAATAAGTTATAAAGGAGTGTGTTGTGGTGGTCAGAACGTTGGGCTGGGGACCTGAGAGATCTGGGCTCTTGTCTCACTCAGACGTGAAGTTCACTAGGTGACTTTGGGCCAGTCACATACTCTCAACCCAACCTACCTCACAGGGTGGTTGTTGAGAGGGTAAAGGGGAGCTATGTAAGCCACCTTGGGTTATTCACAAGAGGGAAGAAAAGCAGAGGAATAATAACAGCAACCATAATAATTGAGCTGAATAGGGTTTGGTCCCAGATAAGTGGGTATAGACCTTAGCATAAGAATACAGGAAGATGCAGACTAGACAATTTTGTCTTCTCTTTTTCTTTCCAGTGTTGCTTCTTTCTGCTTCACTCTGCCTTGACCCAGCCTTACTCCCACAAAAAACAGAGTAGCAAACAAAATCGAAATGCTCATGATTAATAGGTCAAAGCAAGGTTTGATAGTTACTGGGCTTAAAAACCCAATGTAAAATTTTAAATTCCATTTTTTATTTTTTTAAAACATCCAATTTTATCCATTATGTTGTCTTTCTATATTAACTAATGCCTCTGCCTTGTTTGGCCTGACTTTGCCACCATTTAAGCACAGAACAACAATCCTGAAAGCCCAGAACTTTCAAGAAGCAAGAGCTGTTAGTTAGGCTGGACAGAGAGGAAAAACTGAAATAAATGCCCAAGTTTGATTGGTAGGTAACTTCATTTTTATGAGAATATAAATGTAGGTATAGTGTGCTTATGATGAAAATTAATCACAGTCATGTTATTTTGTAAGATAGAGATAAATTCAGTATTTTATTTATAATGTGTTTGTGCTTGTTTGGTTTTTTAAAATCAGTTTAGGGTGCAATACCGTGCATGTTGTCAGAAAAAGTCCTACAACTCCCACGTTACATGTGGAAACGGCATTGCTACCACTGCACATGGTATTGCTGCCGTATGAAGCTAAAGGTTTCATATGAACTGGGGCTAGTTCACAGAGTCACTAGCTGTACTGAGGGACAGTGAGCCTAAATATACTTCCAATATAATTTGTGAGGTGAAGGAAAGGTGTGAATGTTCCATTTCCAAGCCTTTCCCTCCTTAGAAATGGAAGGAGGGTCATGGGAATTGTGTGCAGACAAGTACAGATGTATGCGTATATACCTAAGCTTGCATGTTACATCATATGCACAGAAGGCGCTTATGCAAATTCAAACCCAGCTCACCTCCAAATCAACAGGATTTCCTGCTGGCACTTGCCCAAGTCAGCATAAGGTTATGCTTGACTGGCAAATGGACCTGGCTTGGAATAACCCTTAGTGAAGACTGCAAGTAAAGTTATGTTAGACACATCCTTCCCACGCCAACTGAGTGAATCTACACCTGCTGGCCCCTATAAGCATGGCCCGCTAAGGAAGGGGCCTGCCCACTTCTTTCCCTTTAGAGGGTCTTATCTACAGCAGGAGCAGGGGGTAACCATGTAACTCTGTGCCTTGTGCTGCTTTCCCATTTTCAGACTTTATTAATGACCAAACTATGCTCTAGTTAGGGAAGTCTGCCAACTTGTGACCAAAGATGGTACTGCACAAGTCTTCAAACACATTACATTAATCAAAATTATTTAATGTATTGTTTAGCCCAAACAACCCCAGGGTGCAATGCAAACATTTCTAGACTGCCCTTAGTATTCGTGCCACATTTCAGGTGTCTAGGTGTCAGAGTCTCAGAACAAAGAGACCTTTAAAATTCCCTATGTCAGTAAATCATAGATATGCAAATTTAGCTACTGTAATTGAAATTTTAGAACTGAATAATGAAAGTAAGTTGCCTGAGCTGGCAAAATCAGAAAAGCATGATAACATCTTTACATGTTCAATCCGTTTATACTCAAGCATATAGAGCTTGCTTCAAGGTGAATGTGTACATATCTGTTAATGAGCATTTATTTCTAAGGCAAAATCAGTAACGACATTATTTCTTTTGAGAACCTGCTCCACTGTCTTTCAGAATCTTTGCAAGCCTAGGTCACAAATGCTGATTTTTTCCACTCAAAATGTTTGTTGTTTCATTAATATAGCATTATCTTGTCTTTGTATTTACCTTCCCAGATGTTCCAGCCTATCATTTTACTTATTCTCATCCTTGTATTATTTTCATCCCTTTCTTACACAACAATATTTAAACTTGTCTTCCTTTTCACACTGTTCTTTGTGCTGTAGACCTTTTCATCATTTTACCATTCATTGTAGCTTATTTTCAGTTTGTTTTATTTTGTCCATCATCCCAAGATAAGAAATTCAAGAACTATAGTTTCCATAGTAAGCACTGCTGTAAAAACACTGAAGACTAGCTGCTTGAAAGAAGGAAAACCAACTACCCATATACCACCAAATACATATCACAAAGGAAGCGAAAACAAAGAGATCTCCACAACTGAATTTTAATTCTGCTCGTCAACAAAGCTAGGTAAGCTATGAAAAAGATCTTTATTGTTTTTATATTAACCACCCACATTTTTCTTCCCCCTCTTGTCTGTTTAAAGGAATTTTGCAATACAAATTTTAGGATGAAAAAGTTGTACTAGCTGATATTTTACAAAATGTAGAACTATTTCATTTTTCCTGCCAGAATGTTTTTATTACAGTCACATGCTAACTAAAACCCACTGCAGTTTGTCTTGTGCATGCTTGTATGTAGTGTATTTATTTTCTATAGGTAAGAAAAAGCAAATGTGTTCAGGACAGGGACTGTGGATTTTAAAATAATTCTGCTTCTGACTGAAGTCTTCTTTAGCAGTTGGTGCCACCTAATGCTCGCATAATGGAACATAGAAAAAGAAAACCGGGAGAAAACCCCTGGGAAAATCTGTAAAAGAGTTGATCATAATCCCTCAAACAATTTGAAGGTAGAATTTGAAGGCAGAAGGTAGAAGACTCTGTAAAGTGGCAGGTTAAAAGTTTCATGTAAAGAAATTTGGAATAGTTTTAATGTCTTTATAGCAAATGAAGATTTGGGTTAGGCTTATCAGAAAGGTTTAAAATCTCAAATGCAGGCCTAGCCTTTATTGGCTGAAGCTGTGATAAGCTAGAAAAACTATGCAAGGTTTTATCTGCTTTGCCAGCTCATTCCTCATCAGTTATTTTCCAGTATTCTTTAAGCCTCCTATCTATATCTCACATCTGTGTCTAGGCCTTCTTCATTTTGCTTAGAAATTTTACTGCGGTTCGTTCTCAGTGATTCTGAACTTCAGGATTGCAGGCCAAATCCAATCCAGCTGGGGGTTGACTCTGTTTCAGTTTACCTTATCTGGCTATCTTGTTGTAATCAGAGCTATAAAGTCTTCAAGCTTACCTGTCATTCGGAGAGATAAAAACACTTTCAAAGACAATTTATAAGCATCTAAATGAGATAAAGTGGTCATTCCCTGGGAGTCCAGTTAACTGAGAGAAGTTGTTGAAATGTGTTTTGTCTGAACACAGTTATACCAACAAGCTATGGCTTGTTAACCAGGACCAACCCCTGGAGAGAACCTATAGTTTGTTCTTCGGTTTTGAATTATTTACTGTTTGCCATGGTTTATTATCTTAGCTGGGTTCAGATAGCATGATAACCCTGTAACAACCAGTGGTTCAGTGCTAACTCACACTCAAGCCATACTCAGTGGGTTATCTGAAGCTAGTCGCTGGCAGTAAGAGTGGGTATTTTGACCTTGCTTGCTTTGGCTACACCCATTCCTGGAATACAACTCTTGCGAAGGTCTCCTAAAGTAAATTTGGTCCTTGGGTGTAATTTCCTGCTCTAAAAAACAGTAAAGGTAAAGGTTTACCCCACACATGTGTGCTAATCATGTCTGACTCGAGGGGCGGTGCTCAGCTCCATTTCTAAGCCAAAGAGCCAGCGTCGTCCAGAGGCGCTTCTGTGGTCATGTGGCTGGCATGACGAGATGCTTTTGTGCACGAAATGCTGTTACCTTCCCACCAAAGTGGTACCTATTTATCTTCTTGAATTTGCATGCCTTTGACTGCTAGGTTGGCAGAAGCTGGAGCAAGTAACAGGAGCTCACTCAGTTACGTGGCACTAGGGATTTAAACCGCTGAACTGCCAACCGTCCAGTCAACAAGCTCAGCATCTTACTGAGCCACCAGGCCCCTAAATAACAGTACAGAAACATTATGTTCCTTAGCACCTGATTACCCTCTTCAGACATCCCTGGTATATTGACAAGAGATAATCTGGCCCAAGACATTCACTGAATGCCTTGACATCAGACAGATCACTGACTAATAAATCCCTTAATCGTTTTTTTCCTGCAAGATTGCTTGGCAACTGTTTTTGCCCAGATTGTACTTTTGGGATTTGTAATCTCTCAGTTAAAAAAAATAGAATTCCTTCTGGCCAAAGCTTGTCGTATAAATTCTTAGTGCTGGATTTTTATTACTATTTTTGCTATATTTTTCATCATCCCCTTTGGGGAGAAAAATTCATTTTCGGAGTCACTGACTCAAACCCATATTAAAAATTAATGATAGAACTGTGATGGTAATAAGATGGTAATTCTAGGTGAGTTTTGCCCCTATCATAAAGATGCAATTAAGTATAGAGGTCTAGATTCTTGCTTCCACCCACAGAGTGTCAGGGCTTACAATCATGCATCCTGCTACAACTCTTATCAATCCAGACCCTTGTGGGTAGTTTTAGGGTGAAACAACCAGCTTAGTCTTATATGCTGAACTTGCTTTTGTCAAAGGGCTAGAAACACCTGCTGCAGTTCCACCTTTGTTACCAAGTGATAAATCAGATCTGAAAAGTGGTGCCTTGATTATTCATACTGTTTTTTCTGATGTTCGTCCATCATTTTCGATGAGGACCTTGACATCTAACGGGTTGTGAGCTGTCCATGGTGTGTCCACAGGTGGCTGATAAGGCCAATATGGGCACGGAGTGTTCTGACACATGTCGGGCAGACATGTGTAGGCACCACTGTTGCAACATTTGCAGCTCTGGCTTCTCTTGTGCTGTGGTTGTCCTTCTGGCTTCAGATGTTTGGCAGCCTTGGTGGACAGCGTGTGCCATGTCGATCGGTCTTGTGCCAGGGTCTCCCAGGAAGTGGTGTCGATAACCAGGAACTTGAGAGAGGCTTTCAGCATGTCTTTGTATCACTTCTTTTGTCCCCCATGTGATTGCTTTCCGTGAGACAGCTCACCATAGAAGAGCTGTTTGGGGATGCGGTGGTCTGGCATCCTTGCAACATGGCCTGCCCAGTGTGTCTGGGCTTTCATCAGCAGGGTGTGAACTGACGGCAGGCCTGCTCTGGAGAGGACTTCTGTGTCTGGCACCTTGTCCTTCCACTGGAACCTCAAAAGTCTGCGGAGGCAAGTCGTGTGGAAGTGGTTCAGTTACCTAGCGTGCCTCCTGTATACAGTCCAAGTCTCACTGGCATACATCAGCGTAGTTAGCACTACTGCTCGGTAGACTTTAAGCTTTGTAGGAAGGCTTATTCCACGGCGGTCCCACACTTTGGTCAGCAGTCTGCCAAATGCAGAGCTTGCCTTGGCGATTCTGCAGTTGACCTCGATGTCAATTGTCACTGCGTGGGGAAGGGTGCTGCCAAGGTATGTAAATTGGTCCACTGCTTGCAGCTTTTGTCCCTTCACTGTGATGGTGGGCTCTCGGTGTTGGGCTTTCGGAGCTGGCTGATGCATCGCTTTGGTTTTCTTTGTGTTGATGAGGAGCCAAAGTTGTCACATGCTGCTGCGAATTTGTTCATGCTGGCTTGCATTTCCTGCTCTGATCCAGCATTCAGGGCACAGTCAGCAAAAAGGAGGTCTCGTAGCACAGTCTCCTTTATCTTGGTGACTCTTTTTTCTAATAACATAATAAAGAAAGTGTGGACAGGAGGCTATAACAGGGAAGGTAACCCTCCTGCCTCCCATGCTTACAATGGAATCGTATGTACTTCCAAGTCAAGGTGTTTTGGAGCTCAAACAACCCCGTTTTATTCATTGGGTCAGGATGCTGCTGTTAGTTATTGAGTTTCAGAGATGGAACTGCATCTGCTCAAAATATTTCTTTTTGATCAGGATTAGCCATTGTAAAAGATGGTGAAGTTTTCTCTAACATATCAAGAATGTAGATCAGATTGTAAAGCAACTATAGTGTGATGGAGAAAGAAGAAAACTTTTACTTGTGTGGTACACATGGCTAGCTAAAGTGGGGAACACAAGACCATTAACTCCAGGGCCTAAAGCATCCAGCTGTATCATTAGTGACAGGTCCTAGTCCCATTTTCAAGACTGTATCTCATGTTAGTCTAGCTTAAGTTTCATTCATTACAATGGGTTTATTCAAAGTAGGAGGGTGATCTCATCTTTTCAGGCATAGCTTCATCTGGTCTAGCTTATCTGTGCACACCTTCTGTTGTAAAGATTAAACCCCAGTGCTTGCTTTGCACATGAAGAACCAGCTCCTTGAGTTTGACCTAAGTAGGTCTGGGCTTCACCAGTACCTGTGTATCTTGGACTGCACTGAGGAAGAAATGGGAATAGTGTTTTTAAGGTAGCCCTATTCAGGCATTTGCCTGAATATCTGAGAGCTTAAAGGGGGTAGAAGAATGCGGAAAGTGCATGCTGGTCCCATCCACTCTGACTCCTGGTGTCCAAGCTTTCCCCCTTCAGTTCAGACCATGCCATCCTGAATCAGGAAGGACTGGAAGGGAGTTCTCCTACTCACATTTGCCTGCATGCAAGTAGAACTTCCCATGCGGTTGGGAGCCCTCATAAGTCAAGCTCCACAACCGTGTAGAAGCTCTACTTTCATTCAAGTGAATTTAAGTAGACTTCTTGTTTAGACCTTGCTGATGCATCATGACAAAGTGTGAAATGGCGGAGGACAGGTAGGGCGAACATGCAAGGACCTGTTGCTCTACCCGTTTCACATTGTCCCACATTCAGGTGAATGCCTGAACAGGACTAGTAAATGCCTGTAGTCCTGGCACACTCTTCCTAGCCAGACCAGCATCATGTGTCTACTCCTGTCCTTCCTGCCCCGAGGAACAGCAGAATCAGTCCCCACAGCAACACAGTCTGCTGTAGCTGCTTGCCCATCCTGTTGTTTAGGCCCTGCCCAAAACACACAGCTAGTTGGTTGGACTGCCTTTCGTGCATGGCTGGATGCAGGAGATGAGGGACTGACATGGTAAATGCTTTTCACAAGCATGGCATAGACCCCAGGAAGAAGCTGATCCAGCAGGGAGCCGACCTGGATTACGAGAGTCTCCACAAAGCCTTTGTACATATATACTTTAGACTATGAGTTGAAGTT